TCTCAAAATATAAAAAAATATCAAATATTGCTATCATTGGGTGTAATTTTCAACAGATTCGAGTATGAATATGGCATTAAATCTGGTTTTGAAAGTTGGTGCACAGATAAAAAGTGAGGCTACGGGACGCCACTGGTTTTCAGTATTGCAGAAAGGTGGTTATCTACATCCCAGTCGTTCGGCACAATGTTTTCCCTAGAAGACTTCTGTCCGTGTTTTCAGAACATCGCCATTTGAACACCTTGGAACTATCGATAGAAGAAATGTTTGCAGTTATTTGAAATTTCCGCTTACAGCAGTCTTTTGAGCTAAGAGACATTCGTCTAGAAGTAAAATTAGCTTTCTGTTGAATTTATTTGAAAATTCAATCTTTTTTATGATCTTTTGCAATTCTTAAGCTTCTGGACGTCCATTCTTGCTCTGTAACATGGTTGGTATATATTAAGATATTTGAAAGTCTGTTAAAACATTTAATGGATTGAGAATTTTTTTGAAGGCACGTTGAAATTTGGACTTCTAAAGACCCCTTTGAATTTTAAGCAAACAAGAGAAGACTTTTACTTATAGCAATGAAGGTTAAGGATTATGAATAATATAATCACTTTCAAGACGTTTATTGAACTTCCATGAAGTTTCTAAACTTCCATGAAGTTTGCTAAACTTCCCAGAAGTTTTCTAAACTTCCAAGAAGTTTTCTAAATTTCCAAGAAGTTTAATAAACTTCCAAGTAGTTTCCTAAACCTCCAAGAAGTTTCCTAAACTTCTAAGAAGTTTCCTAAACTTTCAAGAAGTTTCCTAAACTTCTAAGAAGTTTCCTAAACTTCCAAGAAGTTTCCTGAACTTCCAAGAAGTTTCCTAAACTTCCAAGAAGTTTCCTGAACTTCCAAGAAGTTTCCTAAACTTCCAAGAAGTTTCCTAAACTTCCAAGAAGTTTCCTAAACTTCCAAGAAGTTTCCAGAATTTTCAATAAGTTTTCTGAACATCCAAAAAGTTTACAGAACTTCCAAGATTTTGTATGAACTTCTAAGAAGTTTACTGAACATCCAAGAAGTTGTCTGAACTTCACTGAATTTCTACGATAGTTTATACAAAGGGTTCTAAACTTTAAGGAAGTTCACTGAAACTTTGTCAAACTTGGACGAATTTTCTAAAAATCATACAATGTTCCCTGACCATCTGCGAATGCCGTTAACTTCTAGAAAATTTCTTCAACTTCTCTGGACTTCTTTCATGTTCTATGATTATAATTTTTCAAGTTACCATGATCTCAGAACATCTACACACTTTCGGGAAGATCCTCAACATTTCCTACGAATATTCTTGGATATCTGGGAAGTTCCCTGGAAACATTCAGGAAGTTCATTGATCCTTTTTGAAGTAAGAACTCCAACAAAATGCTTTGAAGTTCCTCAAACTGATACGATGATCCCACAAATTCTCAAAAGTTTGCTGAACTACTGCTACATTGTTTGAGTTTCTGCGAAATTTGCTGAACACCTCCGAAGTTTGTTGAGCTTGTAAACTTTGCAAACTTCTACAAACTTGTAGAAAAATCCCCCTCACTTAAATGAAGTTTTACTACGTTCCTCAAATGTTTACGTAATTTGCTACAAAGCTCACTTCGCTTCTGCGTTTCCCGTTGATTTCATACGAAGGTTCCTGAACGTGAACGGAATTTGCTGAACTATTTCTAGTGCATCCAACTTCGACGAAGTACCCTAAGAGAACGTCCTCAATTTTTTTAGATGTCTTCTGAGATTCTTAAAAAAATTGAACTTCTTCTGGAAGTTTTCTGGACTACTACCAGAATTTCTTCAAGAAGTCTTCTAAACTTATTCCAGAAGTCTTCTGAACTTCCCCAAAGAAGTCTTCTGAACTTCTTCCGGAAGTCTTCTGAACTTCTTCCGGAAGTCTTCTGAAATTCTTCCAAAAGTCTTCTGAACTTCTTCGAACAATCTTTTGAACTTCTTCCAGAAGTATTCAGGACTATTTTTGACAATATTCAGAAATTCTTAAAATATATCTTCTGAACTTTTTCAAAAAAATCTTCTGAACTTCTTAAAAGCAGTCTTCTGAATTTTTTAAAATAAGTCATCTGAACTTTTTCCAGAAATCTTTTGAACTTCTTCTAGAAGTCATCTGAACTGCTTCCAGAAGTCTTCCGAACTTCTTCCAGAAGTCTTCTGAACTGCTTCCAGAAGTCTTCTGAACTGCTTCCAGAAGTCTTCTGAACTGCTTCCAGAAGTCTTCTGAACTTCTTCCAGAAGTCTTCTGAACTTCTTCCAGAAGTCTTCTGAACTTCTTCCAGAAGTCTTCTGAACTTCTTCCAGAAGTCTTCCGAACTTCTTCCAGAAGTCTTCTCAACTTCTTCCAGAAGTCTTCTCAACTTCTTCCACACTTCTCAACAGTCTTCTGAACTTTTTCCACAAGTCTTCTGAACTTCTCCCTGAAGTCTTCTGAACTTCCTCCAGAAGTCTGAACTTCCTCCAGAAGTCTTTTGAACTTCTTCGAGAAGTCTTCTGAACTTCCTCCAGAAGTCTTCTGAACTTCTTCCAGAAGTCTTCTGAACTTCTTCCAGAAGTCTTCCGAACTTCTTCCAGAAGTCTTCTGAACTTCTTCCAGAAGTCTTCTGAACTTCTTCCAGAAGTCTTCTGAACTTCTTCCAGAAGTTTTCTGAACTTCTTCCAGAAGACTTCTTAACTTCCTCCAGAAATCTTATGAACATATTCCAGAATTCTTCTGAACTTCTTCCACAAGCCTTCTGAACTTCTCCCAGAAGTCTTCTGAACTTCCTCCAGAAAGAAGTCTTCTGAACTTCTAACAGAAGTCTTCTGAACTTCATCCAGAATTCTTCTGAATGTGCAGGTATGGAAGCTGCCTTCCTGCACATTCGATTGCCGTCAATGGATGGCAATCGATGTCCATCGGTGATCGGCACTAGATTGCGGAACAGAGACCGACGTTAAATAAAGGAAAGAAGAAGAAGAAGTCTACTGAACTTCCTCCAGAAGTCTTCTGAACTTTTTGTAGAAGTTTGCGGAACTTCTTCCAGAAGTCTTCTGAACTTTTTCCAGAAATCTTTTGAAATTCTTCTAGAAGTATTCAGGACTATTTCTGACAATATTCAGAAATTCTTAAAATTTATCTTCTGAACTTCTTAAAAGCAGTCTTCTGAACTTCTTAAAATAAGTCCTCTGAACTTCTTCCAGAAGTCTTCTGAACTTATTCTAGAAGTCATCTGAACTGCTTCCAGAAGTCTTCGTAACTTCTTCAAGAAGTCCTCTGAACTGCTTCCACAAGTATCCTGAACTTCTTCCAGAAGTCTTCTGAACTGCTTCCAGAAGTCTTCTGAACTGCTTCCAGAAGTCTTCTGAACTTCCTCCAGAAGTCTTCTGAACTTCTTGTAGAAGTTTGCGGAACTTCTTCCAGAAGTTTTCTGAACTTCCTCCAGAAGTCTTCCAGAAGTATTCTGAACTTCTTCCAGAAGTCTTCTGAACTTCTTCGAGAAGTCTTCTGAACTTCTTCCAGAAGTCTTCTGAACTTCCTCCAGAAGTATTATGAACTTCTTCTAGACGTCTTCTGAACATCTTGCAGAAGTCTGCGGAACTTCTTCCAGAAGTCTTCCGAACTTCTTCCAGAAGTCTTCCGAACTTCTTCCAGAAGTCTTCTGAACTTCCTCCAGAAGTCTTCTGAACTTCTTGTAGAAGTCTGCGGAACTTCTTCCAGCAGTCTTCTGAACTTATCCCAGAAGTCTTCTGAACTTCTACCAGAAGTCTTCTGAAATTCCTCCAGAAGTCTTCTGAACTTCTTGTAGAAGTCTTCTAAACTACTTCCAGAAGTCTTCTGAACTTCTTCCAGAAGTCTTCTGAACTTTTTCCAGAAATCTAATGAACTTTTTCCAGAAGTTTTCGAACTTCATCCAGAAGTCTTCTGAACTTCTTCCAGAAGTCTTCTCAAATTCTTCCACAAGTCTTCTGAACTTTTTCCAGAAGTCTTCAGAATTTCTTCCAAAAGTCTTATTCACTTCTTCAGAAGTCTTCTGAACTTTTTTCCACAAGTGTTCTGAACTTCTTTCAGAAGTCTTCTGAACTTCTTTCAGAAGTCTTCTGAACTTCTTTCAGAAATCTTCTGAACTTCTTCCAGAAGCGTCCTGAACATCTTAATAGAAAATGACTCTGAAAAATGTCTTGGGAGATTTTTTGAACTATGTGGTCACCGCCGAAAATTCAGGATGATCAATTCAGATGACCATATCCCAGCTGATGAAAACTCCAACATCCGTCATAAGAGCTCATAACGCCAATAAAACAAATTTAGAAATTTGCTAAGAATTGACAAAGATTCCAGAACTGAGTGCCAGTTGTTCCGGGAACTCTGGGTCCAAGTGACCAAATTTTGTGGTTTTGTTAATTCCGATCCAGGAAGATGAAAGCTTTATTTTGAATGTCTTCCGGGTAAAATTAGATCCTTAGGTCACCGAAAGATCAACATCTTGTGATACCTCAAATCACACCTATTAATGACCTAATGGAAAAGGTTCCGGATCCCGGATCTTCGGAGACACCCCATCATGTGACACATGAAATCACATATCTGAAGCACGTTTCAACAGCAGAAAGTAATCCCATTTCCACACCGAAAATCTGATTGCACCCGAACCGGAAATACGTTGAAACTAAACCCTCGAGCTCCTCATAGGAATTGAAAACACTGAAGTAGCCTTTGTTTGGCCTGCTTTCTCCCACTCTCTGAGGAATAGCGAGAAGTCTCTTTCCCAACTCAACTCAATATGAAGTTAGGATTCCATTCTTATCCTCCGGCCGAGATGAATTTCCTCCACTTCTACTTCGAACGCAGCAAAGGGCGTTGTTTATACGCAGGAAATTCCTGTCCTCACCGACTCAGGTCCCTCCCCAGCTCATTCCAATGAATGTTCGATCGATCTACGGCTCCCTCTATACCCTTACTCAACACGCAAAACATCGGAGGGCTACACTCACCTTATCAGCAGGTATGTTTTTGGACGACATCTTTCGCCAGTCTTCTCCTCAGGTTGTGCTTCCTCCTGCTACTGCTATATGATGATTGCCAAACGGTGTACGGCTGTATTGGTGCACTACTACTGCCCAGGACGCACCCCTCGTCTGCCGATCCTAGGGTTGCGCTTGTGTAAGTTTAGCAGCAGAATCTCTCCTGCAGCGAAATTTCGATGCAAATTGCACCACCAGCAGCAAACTGCTGCTGCTCAGCAACGGCGGCGGTATCGATTGATGTAATCCTTGCACACACTCTTCCGCCTCAACCCACACACTTCAATTTCACTGCACCCTGCTGCCACTGGTCGTCGCTCTTCCGCGACAACAAAAACAAATGCACCTTTCTGGGATAGAGATAGAGCAGGGCGCGTCAATCGCACTGACACGCACCAGCAACAACAACACTCGTCGAACACCCGAAAACAACAAAAACCGAAACTGAAAAATCGCGAGCTTGATTGTTTTCACACAACAACAACAACGCCGTTTGTCAGCTGTCAAAGGTTGACAGCTGCTATCGCCTGATGCTGATGCTGACGAACGGCAAGCATAATAATACTGAAATCGATTTGTTTTGAAAACGGACACCAGGAGGGAGTCTCTCAATATTTATATGCGTTCTTCACAATCTTCAGTGGGAAAACAATAACCCAGGATGACGTTTGTGTGTGTGTGTGCGTAATGCATTCGTCGCTGCCTTTCTTCCCTTTCACGCACTTCAACAAAGAGCACCTTTTTCCAACACTTTCTGCCTGGATTCTTTTTCCCTACGAAGGGGGAGGAGGGAAAACTCTTCACAAAATGCACTTTTGATAACTACGCAGCTTTGGCTATTGCAATTATAAATAACACAATCAACTACGCACACACACTCAGACGGAAAGCAGTCAGATGATGGAAGTAGGCTCGTCGGTCGGTTCGGGAACTGACAGTGCTGCAATTTTGCTGTTTTCCTTTTTCACTTTGCGAAAGTCGACAGCCTGTCTTCTCCGCGGATGGAGGAATGTGCCGAGATGGTCTGAAATGGGAGATGGAATTTTATTAGCTCTGGTGGGAGGCGATAGAATTACGGAAATAATAATGGGATATTTTGCCATTACGGCAGTGTTGCCAGACGTTCCAGAGCTGCATCAAGCAATTATTTCTGGAGAAACAATTCGAAAGGGCAATTCAGCTATTGCAAACAAACCAACCAGCATCATCGGTTGGAGGGAACTTTTCCCTACATGGTAATGCCATTGATTTGCGTCGTGGGCGGTCTTTGGTTTGCGAGGCAAGGACTTACAAAGTTTTGTTTACATATGCTGATAGGCCCATTTCAACTGTTGGTCGAGTAATTTTTGTTCGAGGATGAAGGGCATAAAAGGCATCAAACCAACGTTTTTGGCAGCTACTTTGCACAGCAATCGTGTTGAGATAGGAGGCTGATCATAAATCACGTAGGTCGTGGGTCCTATGGGGGAGGGCGGGGCAGGGATTTGGCAAGTGTCTACGGTCTATGTAAATTTCTAAAAAATGTATGGACGATTTTATATTTTTGTAGTTTAGGAACAGCCGCTAAGGCTTCTACCACAGATCAAACATGAGCAGTTCCACGCCAAGTGACGATTCGATTTGATGATGCCTTGTCCGAATTCCATGAAACTTCGCCTAATTGTTCGCTAGGGGTTTGCGCCGGAATTCAGCCATTTTGACTCTCTCCTGATTTAAAAAAAAAAATGCGTTTTCGATATTTTTCAATAAATCTAATCGAAATGACGTATGAGACAAAGTTGTGGAAACTGGATTGCCTTTTCAGAAAAAAAATACACACATAAATAAAATCACAAATTCTCGCCAAAAACTATAAAAACTGTTAAAAACTTCAATAACAAAAAAGAAAATGTCTAAGATTTATAAACTTAAATGATCAAAAATGCTATCTTTTCTGAAATGGACACTAGGGTGACAATGAAAATGGTCATCTTAAATTTCAAAAAGATACCGTCTACAAAATGTTTTTTACCTCAAAAAACAACCCTATGTCAAATTTGAGCTCAATCGGACTTGATTTAAGGGTCGGTGAAAGTTTGACCTTTTTCACTCTCAAAAATGCAATTGCGGAAATCGAATAAAAAATTTTGAAGCGAAATGGTTTTAAAATGTATGAAACGTCGAGATCTGGTGTTGTCTAAAAAAATGTTTTGTCCGAAATCGACTTTCTAGGCCTTCGATTTTTTTTTCATGAGTTGTATGCGATATTTTGAATATTGATGAATTGGATTCTAAACAATCTATTCACAATCATCTTTAAACTACTTGCGTATCGATTTAAACCACAAATTGGCATCTGATATCCGATGCTTCAGTAGGGCGGTTCCAGGGTGTCTACTCAATCCAAGGAATCAAATTCCCTGAGTTTTCCAGATTTTTCCAGGTCGGATGAAAAAATTCCAGGTGCATACAAATTATACACATTATTATTTTATCGAACACCCCTGTTTGCTGGTGTTCATACTGCTTGCACAATTTAGATTTCAAAACAAAACTGTATCAGGAATCAAAAGTAAATACTTCCATCATGAATTACCGGAAAATTGCTCTAGTTTCGGCAGACGTATTTGCTTTTATTATTTTAAATAAAATGAGAAAGAGAAGGTGACCTTTGTAGAGTAGGAAATGGTTGCTCAGGAGGAACACCGGCAGGGATTTGGCTCATCTTGTCCAGCAAGAGCTGCGATATGAAGATGAAAATGGATTTCAAAACTTCGCCAGGATGTCGATACCAACTTTAGACAAGCTAGTGGGAAAAGTTCTCACTAGATGTACATGATTCCTTGAGTTCTGAAAATTTCTGTTAACAACTCAATTCTGCAAGGTCTTCAAACCTTCTGACGTCCCTGAAGTTTTGTTTCTGTTCTCCGGTAAAATTTCCTTAAAAATCAACAATCTTTCCTGACAATCTGCAAATGTCTCGGTAGTTCTACAGATTACTTTGAAGTTCTGTGTGTTCTTCAGAAGTTCAGCAAATTTTCCTAAAAACCTACAAAGTTCCTGAATCCCTGAAGATTTAAGATCCTTGAAGATCAACAATTATCTCTGATGTTCACAACATTTCTAATAATCCACAAACTTCTCGAAAGTTCTGTAATTTTCTCTGCAGATTTTCATGATTCAATGAATATCTGCAAATATCTCTGAACATCTATACAATTTTCTAAAGAATTAAAAGATTATCTAGAAATTTTTGAACTTTCCGGAAGTTTTAGGAAGTATTCTGAAGTTTTTCTAATTTTTCTGAAGCTGTGCAAATATCTCTAAAGATCAGGTAACTTACCTGAAGTTCTGTGAATGTCTTTCAAAATCCAAGAACCGCAGTCAAATTCTGAAAATTTATTTAAACATCTGCTAATGTTTGAGTAGATTTACGACCTACCCTCTGAACTTTTCTAAAGTTCCTAAACTTTATTTCAAATTCTGTAAAGTTTTCTGAAGTACTGTATTTCTGCTCTAAAGATCTACGAACTGCCCTGAAGTTCAATAAATTTCACAGCAGATCACCGATCTTTTCTAAAGTTATTTAAATTTCTTTGTGGATTCTTGATCTAAAGATCGGCGAACTTTCCCGAAGATCTGCGAGTTTTGCTGAAGTTTTGAAATTTTTTTCTAAAAACGTACGAATTTTCTGACGTTCTACAGACTTCTCTTAAGGTCTACGGACTTCTCTGAAGTTCTTTAGATTTATCTATTTCCGACTTCCATGGAGTTCTGCAAAATATTGTACTTTTGTACTTCGCTGCGATTTGTTTTTGGAATTGAGGTGCTTTTCTGACATTTAACGAATTTTTCTGAAGATCTCACATTTGTGTGAAACTGTGAAACTTTCCGTCAAATTCCTGCAAATATCTTTAAAGTTCTGTAAAGTTGTCTTAAGCTCCGTAGCTCTATTCCCAAGATCTACAAAAAAAAAAACTTGAGGCTCAATAAATTTCTCAGTAGATCTGCAAACTTCTCTGATGTTTTGTAAATTCCTCTCGGGTTACCCTGAAGATTTGAAAATTTCCTTGAAGATTACCTAAAGTTGTCAAAATTAATCTGAAAATATTTGAGATTCTTTGAAGTTATAAATGTTTCTCTCAAGATCTACAAATTTTCCTGAAATCGTGTAAATATTTTTTTTTTAATCGCCGAACTTCCCTGAAGTTCTGCAATTTTTACTGAAGATCCATTAACATTTCTGAGATTCTTGTGATTTTTTCAGAAGTCCTGTAATTTTTTTCAAAGTTCTGTAGCTTTGTTCTGAAGATCTACGAACTTTTTTGATGTTGAATAATGTTTCGAGGATCTCCAAACTTCTGTGAAATACTTTATATTTCACTGTAGATTCTTGGACTTGTCTGAAGTTATGCGAATTTCCCTGAAAATTTGCAAAATTTCACTTATAGTTTTAAATTGATTTGAAATTATTTTTGCTTGCTTGAAGTTTTGAAAATAACATTTATCTGAAGATCTACGACCTCTCTTGTGATTTTGTTTTTATGAATTTCTGTTGATAACTTTTAATTTGTTTGTAGTTCTGTTCTCAAGATCTACGAACTACCCTGAAGCTCAACAAATTTCCCTCTCTGAAGCTCAAAAAAAAAATTCTATGTTGGGTCTCAGACCTGCTGTCTGGCATGCTTATTCTTATACAATACATGCTTCGTATGCTTCCTTTTGACGGTTGCCAGTCTCTCTTTTTCGGCTGTTTCCTTTTTACGACGATTTTGATCCTCCACATACAAATCAGCGAAGAGCGAGCGTGACAAGACTCTCTGAATGAACTTGTCTCGTTCGCACACGTTGTCTTAGCTGTCAGATGCTTGTCAAGTTCAGTGTCCTTAAGAAACGTTTCGAGAAACTAAACGAAAAACTTCTTTTGAATTACGAATGAAGTGATAATTGGAAAATTCCCTGAGTGGAACCAAAATTCCCTGAATATTCCAGGTTTTTCCAGAAAAAATAAAATTCCCTGTAAATTCCCGGTTTTCCAGGTTTTTTCAGGTAGTAGACACCCTGGGTTCACTTATTTTTCATTAGGGTGATCCAAAATACATAAAAAGGCATAAAATTTAAAGAAATATATCTGAAAATAATACCGACAAATTTACAATTTTTCAATCATAGCATAAAATGAATGTTCTAATATCTACAATATTTTGGCTGGTATTAATGATGCTTAGCCATTAGCGTTCGAGCTTGAATTTTCGTCCTATGGAAAATATTTAATGATAGAGATATTTTTTGGGAAAGTTCTTGAAAAAGTGGTCAAACAGGTCTTCTCTTTTAAAGAGAGAGCAAGGCAATTAATGATTCCAGAAGAATGTACAGTAGTTGCCAGAGAAGAGTTTATTTATTTCAAGTGAAATATGGATAACAATATTACATTTGTTTGACATATATTTTTATATTACCTACGTTAAATCAGATTTCTAGCGACTCTTATAAATTTTTTTCGATGTTCTTCAACTAACTGTAAGATATAATGTTTTTGATCTTCATCCCTTGATAATTTAGAATTGTATCTTCTTCTTCTTCTTCCTCGCATTTCAAGCGTATTACGTATCGCATATTAGCTTATGGCGTGCTCTCAATTTACTGTTCCAGATGCACTTCCACAGTTATTAATTGACAGCTTTTGATGCCTGCACCATTTTTACATTGGTATAATTGTGTGGCAAGTACAATCATACTCTATGCCCAGGGAAGTCGATAAATTTTCCAACCCGAAAAATTCCTAGACCGGACCTCTCTGGGTCTTGCTTTGTAGCTGAGCTTTTACCGACTGAGCTAAGGGAGGCCCTTATTATTAAAATTGTATGTTTTTATCAATGCTATGTCTCGTTCTGCATTGTCATTAACTACTTCCAAACATTGAATCCGCCGCTTGGCGTTTTGAAACTCGATTGAACTACTCCTCTGCTGCACATCGATATCTAGCAAGGACTCTGGAATGTGGAGAGCTTTAACCAAATTTCGAATACCACTTTTGCCTTGTAC